TCTGAGCCTTAGCATGCTTGGTAAGAGGCACAGATACGCGTCTGCCTGCCTCAAGCCTCAAGCAATGCACTCAGAGGATAAATGGGAACCTGCTGCAGCCCGTGTGCCGTTTGCACCAGAAAGGCTCCGCAACACAAGGACTTCTCTCCTCCTCGGCTCTACCGATCCCTTGTCCTTGAGTCTTTACATTTTTAGCTTCTGGGACTTTTCCTCACCAGCTCTGTTTCTCATCATAATGTAGTCATGGTGACATAGACATTCAACAAGGGATTTATGCTGAACAGAGGACAGCCCGCTGGGGATATGTCTGTGCGCCTGTTCGGCGACGATGAGGAGAAGTCAGCCTTGAACCAACGAGCCCAGGCTGCAAAAATAATAGGAGTAAAACTCTGAGAGACGGGAGAGTCGGTGAAAGGAAGGCATTGAGGTGGTCTGCCTCATTTACACTGAGCCCTTTTCCTCTTTATACTGCCAACTGACGGGGATATTTTTATTAGCCTGGCCCACAAAGTGCACGAGGAGGAACAAATTCATTTGTTACAACATACTTGAAGCCAAGGACAAGATCTCGGCCTGATAGAACATGGCTGTCTTTCTGTCCTATCTGAGGAGAAATCCTTCAGTTTTATTTATGCATCTGTCCTGACATTATCATGCAAAGGCTTGTTCACAAGGCCTCTCCCACTTCGTATTCAATGAAGCAGAAAACGGAAAAGCAAAACGTGTTCCCCAAGGTCTGGGCTCTCTCTGTGATTATTATTATTATTATTATTATTATTTTTGTCTAACATTAAGACTTTTTTTCTAGTATGGACTAACTACCTTTCTATGTTTTACAGCTTTTATTGAGGTGCTTTTTTTTAAAATTACTTTTCTGTCCGGGGTGATATCTGTTGAGATGAATCCCAGCTGCATAAGAAACGCTGCTCTGTTCACGATTGATTTGATGGAAGGCGCATCTGTTGATCTGTGTTGAGCCCAATTAGAAGTCAGCAGCATGACACAGCTTTAAGTGCATTTGAGAGGGACCAAGAGAGAGCGAGCATGAATAAACCATGTGCTTAAGTGGTGTCACTGGGCTGCTGTATTGGCATGCCGGCATGGCTCTGGAAAAACATGGCTGTGTCTGGGGAATCGTCTGTAATCTAGCATGTAAGAGCCGTAAGATGGCTTCTTTATGTGACTAATACATGCACACGTTGGAGAATTTAACTTCTCGACTTTATGTATATTTGTTAGAATCTTAATCCACAATGATATCTTGTCAAGTCTTTATGACCTTTGAACTTTTCCACCTTTTTTTCTGTGTTATAGCCACAAATAGCAAAGTATTGTTTGGTATTTTATTTTACACACAAGCACAAAGTAGTACATAAATCTGCAGGATGTAACTTTTACAGAAATATGTATTTTTTTCTCATTTGTTAAATCCGCCACCATGTCGTGATAATATAATATGACGGGCGATCTGTGAAAAGGTCGCATTTCTTCAGTGTTACGACTGAAGAAATGCACTGCTTCCAGTCAAAAACAACCAATCAGAGCCAGGAGGAGGGTCTTAGCGCTGTCAATCATCCTCGTGTGCACGCTACTAAATACGCTAAAGACAGAGAAACAAATTTTTGTTCCAAGAAAAGTGTTTATGTGCCATCATCAGCGGCTATGCTAACCAGCCTGACCATTCATAACAGGTTTGTATTGTGGTGGAGGGTTTGAGCAGCACGTACACGTCTCATATTCTACAGTCGCGGCATAGTGATAGCTTTAACAAATATATATAAAAAACATTTTTTGTAAAAGTTGCATACTTCAGCTTTAACTATGAAGTTTTGGGGAAAACTCTTTTTAAATCCACCTTTCACTGTAATTACAGCTGCAAGTCTTTTAGGATGCGCCTCCACCTGATTTGCACTTTAAAGGCGAGCCGTCACCGCTGCCACAGAATAAATATTTCAGCTGATATTTTCTCCTGTTGTATTTCAAATTGGCGTATCGTGCTTTGAAATAAACAGACGGTAATTGGGAGGACTGCTAAAGCCTTTATTCATTTATCAGCTGAATTACATGGGTGGTTTTTGTCTGTGTGTGTTGATGTGCGTTTCTGTGGCCACGCTCGTCCAGCTCGGTGTCGGCCTGCGCCTCGTCACAGCAGCGTTCACCTTCCTTACACAAGACCCGTGTTAATGTACCGCACATTTTTGGGGGTTAAATATGATGGATGCGAGGAATACTAAGATAATTGTTTGAAAGAAATGTGTTTTTGTTTCTGTCTTTTACCTGGCCTTGCTGCTTCCTGGTTCTCGTGTTGAGAGTAAGGCTTCGATCACACAGCAGGTCTTGATACTCGATTCCAATTTATTTTTATTTAGTTTTTGTGCGTGTGGGTGTTGCTGTTCGTGTTAATTAAATCTGACTCTTGTGTGAATGGTTTACGACCAGGAGTAGTGGAACCGTGATGTGATGCGCTTCACTGACGCTGAATTCATTCATAATTTATTTTCATACTAGGCACTTCTTGCTTCATCCATTGTTTACATCCAGCTCTACCTGTGATGCAAAGTTGGCACGTTTAATGAACTTTTAATGCAAGTTTTTACTGTAACTTTAATTTTAAGTGTCATTATTTACCAAATAATGCAAATTTGACACCTGTGATACATTTTTAATGCATTTTTGCATTAAAAATGCCATTATATAGTGAATGACACTTCATGACAGCAGTCGTAAAGACTCCTTCATGTTCATGACGGGTGTTACGTACTGTTTAAAATGACAGTGTCATGTCAGTCTTATGCACAGACCTTCAAATAAAGTATTACCTAAATTGTGTTTTTTATAACATGATAAATGTTGCTTATTATTTTAAATGTAGTATGAGTTAATGTTTGTATTGTAATTTTATAAACACCTGCGTTTCATTATGTGACATTTTTTTGCATCATTTGTAGTCCCGGGTGGATAATGGTTCAGTCCAGGTAGTGGAAAATCCTGCGAGGTCATTTAAACCTGTCTGTCCTCTTCAGTCATAAAAACCGAAGGATGGTGTTTAGAATCACACTGTTACTTTCCATCTGCTTTAAAAATGTCACTATATAATGAATGACACGTCATTGCTGAATAAATGAGCTTCTGAAAGGTCGTCTTGACTGTTTGGTCCTTGCGTTGCACAAAGGACAACATCAAAAAACATGAACGTTTTGAAAGTCCTATTAAGAATGCGTTAAGCTCTGACAGACTAGATGGATATAAACTCCAAGCATCAATTTTTAAGTCTTTTAATTGGATTCTGGTCACTGACTAGGCCATTTTAACACATAAATATGCTTTCATCCAAGCTTTGTGATTCTGGCTCTTGTTCTGCTGAAAGGCGAAGCTCTGCGTCAGCAGCACGTCTTTTTTAAAGCCCATCTGACTCCCTTCGTTTTCATCTCCCCGTCATCGCTGAAGCAACGTATCCCCACAGCATGCTGCCTCCTCAATGATTCACTGTGGGGATGTTGTAATTAGACTGTTTCGCACATAAACCAGAAATTTCAATTTGGCTCTCGTCTGACTTGGAGCATCCTGTTCTACCTGTGTGCTGTCTGCTCCCTTTGTGGGTAAACCATTTGTTTTTGCCTCTTTCAGAAACAATCCTGGTCAGAGAAATGCCGTTTTGATTTTTATTTTCTTCCCTCTCAGCATGGTTTCATCTCACCGCAGCGACACAAATAACCTGTTTAGCCCTGCTGACACGCAGATGATCCATAGCCGACTCTGTAATTGAAAACATCGAGAGTAGTGGGACAATTTCTCTTTTTTTTCTCTCTCTCTCTCTCAGTTCTTCATATTTCCATGAAGAAATGCCTCAAAATGCTGATTATAGATAAGAGTGTTATTGATTAGACAAGGTGGGAGGAGAGGCAGAGAGGTGCAGAAGTTTCCCATCACTAATCTTTCTGGCTGTGACTGCATCTAAATAACCTGCAGAGAGGGATAAACAGGCGCATCCATCATGGGACGGCTGGAGCAGACAGAGACGGATGCCTCCGCCCTCTGCTACCCTCCGTCGCACCTCTTCCTTCTGGTCAGAAATAGGAGGCGACGCCCGCACTCGGGAGGAACATCTAGCCGAATCCGGGCTAGATATATACACTGCTCAAAAAAATAAAGGGAACACTCAAATAACACATCCTAGATCTGAATGAATTAAATATTCTCATTGAATACTTTGTTCTGTACAGTTGAATGTGCTGACAACAAAATCACACAAAAATCATCATTGGAAATCAAATTTATTAACCAATGGAGGCCTGGATTTGGAGCCACACACAAAATTAAAGTGAAATGTTCCCTTTATTTTTTTGAGCAGTATATATATACTATATATATTATATATATGCTATATATAATATATATTTTAGGCTGACTATCAAATAGAAGAGACTTTTAAAAAAAATGTTCCATGTTTTCCATCATCTTGTCTATTTAAGTTTATTCACATTTTTGGCACTACTTTGTCAGGGAAGTGTTCTTTGATATTGTGTGTGTGTGTTTTTTTTGCGAACACGGCCGTTTTTACTTTCTGTATAAATTGATTTGGGTGTGCGTTTCTTTTCTGTCTACATGCTCAAACGCTGTGAGCCAAATCCCCTTCAATGCCTGAACCCAGTGAGAAGGCGTGCCCATGCCAGCTCTCTTCAGAGGTGCCAGCCTGACAGATATAGTGTGTGTGTGTGTGTGTGTGAGAGAGAGAGAGTGTGTTTGCCACGCCGCGCTTTCCCTCCTCAACCCTGCAGCGTTAAGATTGATCCTTCGTTCCCTCCCATTCCTTTCTCTTTTGCTCCTCTGTGTGCCTCTGCCTTAATGAGACTGTGAATAGGTGAAGCTCACAGGCTCCAACAGATGGCCAGAGCTGCCCTGGTTCAGTGTCTGCGCACGCACGCACACACACACACACACACACACACACACACAGCATACACACATGCAACTCTGCAGCATGTTTGCTCATGAATGAGAGCCCAAAAAGCCTGAAGAGGCAGAGGGAAAATGCGACATGGAGAAAGAATAAACAGGAAGCAACCCAGGAGAAGAAAGAGTCAAACTAATGGAAACCATTGACAAATAACACGCAGGAGGGGGAGGACGGGGAGGGGGGAAAAAAAAGGGAGAGGGAGTGCTTAAAAAGAGCGAGAATATGCTAAAAGAAGAGGAGGACAAAACGGCGCTGAAAGGAGAGTGAGGGCAAAATTGAATTGTAGATTGAGGGAGCCTCTCTCCTCCCTCTCTCCCTCCCTCTTTTATTTATCTCATGTGAAGCCACGCCTCCCTCCTTTCACTTGTCAGTGCATCCATAACAGTGAGCTGTCTGCACCGGGCTGCGTGGGGGGTGAGACTCGCTCCTCACTTTTGCCAGCGCAAGCCGACCGGATCCGAGCAGAGCAGGACCGGGAGTGGACGGCGTATAGTCCGGCCAAACAGGTGCGTGAACAAACATCTGACGGCTAATGTCTGTTTATAACAGCTGACATGCAGCAGCATGTGTACGTATCTCTGCCCCCCCCCTCCATCTCTCTCTCCCCGCATGCCGGATCTCGGTCCTCTGCAGGACTTGCTTCCTTCCTTCCAAGAGTAGCGCATCCAGAAGGTACAGTGCTGGAGCTTTGCCCCAGTTTTACACTTGAACGCTCTGATCCGTTTTGTTTGCCTCTGAGATTTATGCGTGCCGCTAACGGCGCCGCTCATTGGGCTAAAAAAGATCAGACCTCTCGCTCATAACGGATTCTCTGCGGGATCTGGCTCCGAGTCAGGGCAGCGAGCGGATAGGCGTTTCGCTTTGCGAACGAAGTTTGGAGTTTCAAACACTGATGCTGTTAACATGTGATCTCTGTTTCTCGGTTTGGTTTTTAAGCAACTCCTCGCAGGTGATGCTGTTTTTGAGTGGATATTTGGTTTTGAGAATCGACCATAAGATTGCACTTTATATGTTTGGTGGTTCTTTTGTCTGTTTTGGCGTTTTGTTTTGTTCTCCTGGAGCAAAAAAAACAACAAAAGTGAAAATGCTACTACTTTTAAAGTTTGGTGCAGGTCTGTGTGGAATAATTTACATTGTGGCAACCTTTTTTTTTCTGGAAGCCAGTTAGGTATCCACCAGTCGGCATTCATTCAAGAGTCGCCATTTCAACAGTTGCAGCTGCCTGCCGCCCTCCCGACAACTGGTCTCGGTGAATGTACTCACTATCAGTGTTTTGTCAATAGCTTTATGGGTCAAAAGTCTGTGTCATCACCAAGCGGTGGTGGTTAAGATCAGCCGAGGGGAGGAGGGTGTGATTGCTGACCTGAAGGCTGAAATATTTATAACAGAAGCTTCTGAACGCCCCTGAATGCCGTCTTTGGTGCTCCTGGTGGGTGGATGAACGAATGCAGAGATGGACGGATGGATGGATAGATGGAAAGAAAAGAAGCTTCAGGGATCTCTTCCTTAAGCATTCATTATTTATTCCTACACACTCACGGAAGCTGTAACCCCACATCAACTGGCCTCTTTTCTCGCTGAAATGTCAGTGGACCAAAGGAGGATGCTCCGGCTTACTCTACCTGTAAGGCATGTCGGAACTGCATGCTGCACTCTGCGCCCAGATGGACACATTTATGCTCTCTCTCTCACACACACACACACACACACACACACATTCTCCCAGGCATAATTGCTTGGTTACCCTCGCCAATGCTGTGGGAAAAGAAATAAAACCACAACCGCCGACTTGCACTAAATTAGTTGCATGCACGCATCTAATACGCTCACGCTGCTTAAAATGACGCTCACGCACATCACTGGAACCACCATCGGCCATTTTCTCCATTTTATTGTTCCCTCACCATTCTTTAAAAGACTCGAACTCCTCACACATGCCAACATGCAGATGAAAAAAAGAGGAGGTAATGACCTTGAGACCTGTTGATGTATTTTTTTATATTTTTTTTCCCCCCTGCGGCGGCCGTGTTGAGAATACACAAGAGGCCCGCGGGAGTTCTGGAGAAAATGCTCGACATGCTGATTGTAAAATTGGCTCAAAATGTGCGAGAGGAGCTGCTTGACGCAGTCAAAGGGAAAACGCACATGAATATGGATTGTATGCTAACGCTACACGCTGTGGCTGCTGTCGAAGGCAGAGGAACGCGTTCCTCCGATCTCCACCCCTCGAAGTGCTACTGACGGACCTGTTGTCAGCCGGCCCTCCTCCCCTGGCTGGAGGGCGTTGTTGTGGCAGATATCAGCAGTCAAGGTGACACTGCAGGACGTCTGGGCAGCTCTAATGTCTGCTCGTTTTACCACCAGCTTAGCCTTTTGTGGTCAGATAATGGTTTGGATAAGGTCACATTAAGAGGCCTAAATCGAGCATCCCCAATAGTTTGTTGGAGCTGTTCAGACATGTTTCATCTGCACTGCTTAATTTCTATCCTACAACATCTTAACTGATGTACATCATTCTTAAGTGATTTTTACAGGGATGTGCTGATCGGGATTTTCTGCTATTCATGCTAATCTGAATCAAAGTTTGATTCTTCATTAAAGTTAATATTGTCAAGGGCAACTATTTGCTTTTAAACTTAGTAACTTATAGGGGTAGGACCGTTACATTTACACTTTTTTTTATTAGTTATGTGACTCAATATATAAGTTTACCATCTTGAATATACTCCCATCTCAGTCCTGTTGACATATTTTCATGCTAAGATAGGCTGCTAGAAAGCCAATCCAGCCAATTACACTAACAGAAGGTGAGTCACTGTTTGTTTTTAAAAGCCCTGAGCAGATCTGTGCTATTAATCTTGTACTGCTTACTGTGCAATGACAATAAATCTAATCTAATCTAAGCAGCTAATGTCAACATGTTAACTCTGTCTTGTTATGACCTGTTAGTGATTTATTTCAACCGCAGACCCGACAAAGACTTGTGACTTGGGCTGTGTTCACACTGCAGCCTGAAGTGACCCAATTCCGATTTTTTTTTTTTTTTTGACATAATGCGACTCATATCTGATCTGTTCTTGACAGTCTGAACAACACAGGTCAGATTCTTTTTGAATGCTATCCTGGCCACTTGGGTATCCAATACGTATCTGATTCAAATGCATCCTAACATCCATGTCGCATTCATCCAACCTGAACGTCACTGATACTCGACAAGTCTCATTATTCTGCATCTGATGGATGCAAGCAGAAAGGAAAACAATAACCGTGATGGACTATAATCAGTGGTGCAAAAAGGGGGTATGCAGCGCATGCAACGCATAGGGGCGCAGCACCAGAGGGGACGCCAAAACCCCGTCTGAAAGGGGCGGCGTGCCTTACGCTCCTTCACCTCGCGCACGTGACGAGGTAAATGTAGCGAGTTTTACCCTTCACACGTAACTTCGTCTCGGGGGTGGGGGGGGGGGGGGGGGTATGTTTCCCCCGCTCCTTCAGCCTTC